AATGCCTGCTGGGAGTTGTACTGCTTGGAGCACGGTATCCAGCCTGATGGTCAGATGCCAAGTGACAAGACCATAGGAGGTGGCGACGATTCTTTTAACACCTTCTTCAGTGAGACTGGTGGTGGCAAGCACGTTCCCCGTGCTGTGTTCGTTGATCTCGAGCCAAGTGTAGTAGGTTCGTATTGAATTAGATTCCATTATACATAAAGATCCATTAAATACCACGTCTATATACAAACTTGCTCTGTGTGCTTATATCCATCTATTTGTTAACTCTTGTAGATGAGGTTAGAACTGGCACATACCGTCAACTCTTCCATCCAGAACAGCTGGTGACTGGCAAAGAAGATGCTGCCAACAACTATGCCAGAGGTCATTACACGGTTGGCAAGCAACATATCGACATTGTTATGGATAGGATTCGCAAATTAGCAGATCAGTGCTCCGGTCTTCAGGGATTCTTGATCTTCCACAGTTTTGGTGGAGGCACTGGATCCGGTTTCTCCTCACTCCTCATGGAACGACTATCTGTCGATTATGGAAAGAAGTCAAAACTTGAGTTTGCCATCTACCCAGCACCTCAGATCTCAACAGCTGTTGTAGAGCCATACAACTCCATTTTGACTACTCACACAACCCTTGAGCACTCCGACTGCGCTTTCATGGTTGACAACGAAGCCATCTATGACATCTGTCAAAGGAACCTTGATATCGAAAGGCCGTCATACACTAATTTGAATCGCTTGATTGGTCAAATCGTATCTTCCATTACTGCTTCCCTTCGATTCGACGGTGCATTAAATGTTGACTTGACAGAGTTCCAGACCAACTTGGTACCCTACCCACGAATCCACTTCCCTCTTGCTACTTATGCCCCAGTCATTTCAGCCGAAAAAGCTTACCACGAACATTTGACTGTGGCTAAGATAACTAACTCTTGCTTTGAACCGGCTAACCAGATGGTAAAATGCGATCCTCGCCATGGAAAATACATGGCCTGCTGTCTGTTGTACCGTGGCGACGTTGTGCCAAAAGATGTCAACACTGCCATCGCTACTATCAAGACTAAGAGAACCATCCAGTTTGTCGACTGGTGTCCAACTGGTTTCAAGGTCGGCATCAACTACCAACCTCCAACCGTGGTACCAGGAGGTGATCTAGCCAAGGTACAGCGTGCCGTTTGTATGTTGAGCAACACTACAGCCATCGCCGAGGCATGGGCTCGTCTTGATCACAAATTCGATCTGATGTATGCCAAGCGTGCTTTCGTGCATTGGTACGTAGGTGAAGGTATGGAAGAAGGAGAGTTCTCCGAGGCTCGTGAAGATTTAGCAGCTCTGGAAAAGGACTATGAAGAGGTCGGTGTAGATTCTACTGAGGAGGGTGAAGAAGAGGAAGCTGAAGACTTCTGAGCCTAACAGACGATGACCACAACAAATGGTTGTAATACAGAGGGTGTGATTATTTATTCTTGTGCAGTGCATGTCGAGCACGTGTCTTCAGTGTCTTTTCGGGAGAACGGGGTGATTCTGGTATTGTTAAAACTTTACTGAATGACTTTTATGTATCGATGCAAATATGTTTTGCAATTCAATAATATCATTCCTGTGAAAAATAATGCAATCTTTAAGCGTTAATGACCACATGTTTTCCATTTCTGTGCATTCATCAACTTAAAACTTTATAATGTACTTAGGCCCTATACGGTACTAGGTCTACTGATATCAATAAGTTTGCTGCAATGTTTAGTTTATGTGGATTTCTTAAAGAATAAATACAATCATCAAATAAAAAAAATATGTTTCTTAAAGTTCGTATAGTGTGTGTACCATGCCGTCTTTACAGGTCATTTGCAACAAGGGACGAATCTGGATTCCAAAAGCAGGCGCTGAATGCTTGTAGCGGCGGGGCAGCTGGAAAACTGTTATACTGTATAATTAATTAATATTCCAAGTTACGCAACACGTCGATAATTCTACACTTATCAACACAGTTATGCATACAATCACATGACTACATCCCTGTCATATAATTGCATTGTGTGATCGATAATCTTAATGAGTACTCGTCGCGAGTGAGTCATGAATCACACAATGATGGATGTATGCTGTGAGATAATAAAATATCTTTCAAACTAGGCCACAATGATTGCACAGTAGAACCCTTCCTTTGGGACACCCCTATTAATGGACATCCCTATTAAGGAGAAACTTTTTTCGGCCACGAGACGAGTGAAGGTATACCTTTTAACACTACGCCCAATCCCTTCAAGGGACACCCCTATTAGTATTAAGGTATAATTTTCCCCTTTATAGGAGTTCTACTGTATAATAATGATTTATATATTATTAGCATGGGTGGCGCCAGCACTGTGTGTCATCTGGGCTTATTCCCAGTCGTAGGGTAAAATCTGTCGAGAAAAAATAAATATACAATAATAATTTCTAAGCCAGAGAAAGCTGACCTGAGGGTGCCATTTTTCGAGCGTCTAGTCAGAGGTGACATAAACTTAATGTCAGCTCAGTTCTAGCCATGGTGGGGCTAGCCATGTTCCATCTGCAGTGTCGGGAAACGATGGACCACTTGTTTAGAAAATACCGAAGCCACCGCTGAGGTTAAGTAAAATTAGGCCTACATAAATTATTATTTACAGTGATACAGGTAAACGATTTTTTTTTTGTTCATTTCAAATTCGGTACATTTAAAACAATTTTTATATAATTTATGTTAAATTATATTATTATTTATATTTACCGTATATAGTTTTTGTTGGGGACCCCTTCTGAAACAAGCCTACCAGCTTAAATTGTTATCCTGTTATCCATAATGTCTTATTGTCAATGTATTGGTTTCGTGTTTTAGAAATGATATGGGCTTATTTTGTTA